GCTCTAAACCAAATCATTACCTGAGTAGGTATTCAGTAAACATTTGTAAGAATATATGACTGTTTAGAACCTAACCAAGCATCTCCCCTTCTCCCCCAAATCAGCCTATCCTCTCTATTCTTTTTGAAATGACTTCCTCGTATCCATACTTAACTTGAATGTCTTTGACTCATTCTACTTTTTTTCACTTGACATTTACTCTATAATTCTGAGTTCCTATCCAGGTTGGGGGAAAGGACTGACTTTGGTGCTCTGCCCCCATCCTCCAAACCTGCTTTGATTGCATTTCATTCAGGCTTCTAATTTAGATCTAATCACAGTGCAGTGTAATTACAGATTTGATTTTCGGTCTCTTCCTCTCACCTCCCCAGGTTTGTAGGCATATAATAAATATTTGTTCCAATTGGCTTTATTATTTCCTTTCTCAAATTTGTATTAAATTGAGTGGCTGATGTTATATGTATTGATATGCTTCATTGTTTATGCATCTTAAAACACATGCTAATAGAGTATTTTTGATCCTTACCCATGAAAAGAAATCCCAAGATTTGAGTGATAGATCAGTATGAACAGACAGTTCACAGAATTGTTTCTTTGTAAATCCTTTAAAACTTGACCATTCACAAAAGGTTAAATGTGTACAGAGTGGACAGCAGAAGTGTCTTTGAGGACATAAATAGTGCTTGGTACATTAAATGATAAAATTATATCAGAGGACTATAATATGGTCAGTGGTGTATATATAGCCAATATAGAAATAGGTAAGGTGTTATTTTCTTTGATTTGTCTAGGGTAGTAAATTAATGTATTAAAGTCAGAATGTATCTTGTTATGTTAAACTAATTAGGTACAGCAGAAAACAAAGCTTTTTTCATTTGATTAAGTTCTTTAAATTATTTTTGGTTTGGTGTAGGCATAATTATTTTTTCTGGATTGGGGATTAAAAGGAAAATCTATGTTAAGAAAATATTTAAATACAATATTTTGTGTCAATGTGATCGCTGATGTTTTTGATCTTAGGAATCATGCCTAGAATCTACTCCTTTTTTCTGAGTCATGTTATAATTAATTAAAGAGCTATTGAAAGTGAATGTATAGATGACCACTTATCTTCTTCTGCTTTTTTGTGCCTATGTAGGTACATGGACTGTATCGCACAACAGGTGCTAGTTTTGAGAAGGCCCAACAAGAGTTCGCATCAGGTGTGATGTCCAACAAAACTGTCCAGACCGCAGCTGCAAACGCAGCTTCGACTGCAGCAACTAGTGCAGCTCAGAATGCTTTCAAGGGTAACCAAATTTAGAGAATCTGCAAACAATACACTGTTACCTTTTGACTGTACTTTTTTCTCCACTTACTGTATTCTATAAATATTTTTATGTTCAGTACACACAGCATGTATATCTCCTATTGTTGCATGGGCAAAAACCAGAAAAACTTCCTTGTCTTATTATTTACCTAACAGTTTCTTAAGATTTTAGTGCCCCTTGCAGAAAAAAATATTACATGCTAAATAAATATTCTCCATATTTTGGGGGCGATGAATGTTCAGCAAATTATTTCAGTGACAAGACACTAAAATTAATATGGTACTTATGATTAAAAATGCACTTAGTAATAGCTGCAGTCATTCTTTCAAGAATCTTAGACTTAAGGATTACACATTGGAGCAGTAAATAGATGCTTCATTTCTTTTTTCTTATTTATATTGCAAGAAATAGACCATCAGAGACTTGTGGATTTTTAGATTGACTTGCTTTTTTTAGCAGTTTGTCACCAGTGAAGAGCCTATGTGCATTTCGTAGTAGATAATGTAAATTTTATCTTTTTATTTTCTTTTTTTAGAGTAGCTGATATTTTGATATCATTCCATGATCTTGCATGGGCACCAGGTTTTTTAAATTAAAATAATTAGTATTTTGGGTTCTGCACTGCTTATGGTTGTACAATTGGGGAGTCATTTGTAAAATTTTAAAAGTGATTTTCTGTAATAGTTTCTTTTAAATAAAAGTTTATTGGGGTGCAATATGAGAATATAATATGTAGTGCATTATCCAAAAGAAAAGGTAGAAAATTGATGGAATAGAATGTACTGATGAGAATACCTTTTTTTTTTTAAATTTTCAGTATTCATATCATAGTAAAATATTACCGTATGAAACTTTGGTATATTCTGTGGCTACTCTTTTTAATTGAACTGAGATTATGTTTGGCAGCTCTTTTTGTGTGTGTGTGTGTAATTTTTAACAGAGGTATTAAAGTCTAGTCTTAACTCCTTGTCCATAAAGAACATACAGTATTTAAGGGATTTTTTTTTTAGTATCTCATCTTTAGTGGCATTAAATATTAAAAGACCCTGGCATTTTACATATAATTGAATTTCTAATACATATCAGTCTTTCAAATTTTGAGACAGACTGAATATATTAAAATTTTTCAGTAATAGAAAAAAAGAAAACATTTAATTTGCACCAAGCAAGAAAATATACAGTTGAATGTATTCATTATGAATATAATCACTTTAAAATTATTACTATGCAGCACAGGAATTCATTCTTATAGTATATTTGGGTTGAAAGTTTGAATCATCTTTAATACTGATTAAGAGACTCAATACATTTGTAAAGTCATTATATTGTGTTTTACAAGTAATTAGCTAATTTAAGATTACAGAATAATAGTGATTTATTCAACTTGATTTTAAGTAAGGATCATTTATTGGATTATATTATTTGATATGGCACATCCCTTAAAAAAATCAGATGGGCATAAATGGTTAAATTATTTTCATTTTCTCCCCAAATCTGAAGTTAAAATGAAGTCCATGCTGGGGCTGGATGGTGAGTTCTTACTATTTATGAAAGAAGCTTGGCATGATAGTGCTACTAGGTGACATAGATCCATCCCAGTGGTGTTTACAGATTTATTTGGGACTTTATTGAAGTAATATACTTGGAATGTATTTCTTTTATTTTAATGAAAATAGGCTTCAGAGTATGAATTTAAAGCTGTTTGTGAATATTTCTGATCAGCGATAATCTCCACCTACTTTCTCAACCAAATAAGCCAGTCAAGTTTTTCAGAATCTATAGTCTTATTGAAAATTTGTTTCATCAGTGTGCTCTATTGAGTGTGGATTTTACATATATTGAAAATGTTCACCACAAAATACAACAAGAACACCATGTCCATATCTCAAGCCCATTTTTTATTTTTCTTTAAAGTGCAAATGAAAGCTACATCATAGAGACTTTTGAAAAATGCTGAGATACTTTCCTTCAAGAACAGGAATACCTTTATCCTGTAGAACTCCCCATTGCTAAATAGCAAAGAATAATTACAACCAACAGTATCTTTTTGTGTAGATGGGGAAAATGTTGTTATAAATTCAGTTATCTGGGTTAATACAAGCTTATGAGAGAATTGTTTCTTAAGAACATAAATGTGCATTAAAATGAGGGCAATGCTTACAGATTGATAAGGTGTAGGGATTTTAAATTCTTATATTTTCTATTAACAAAATCAGTAGTCACATTTTCACCCAGCAAAAGATTGGCATTTGTTAGTGTTTTATGCTTCATATTAACATTACCCATTATCAGAATCATGAAATGGTTTTTTACAGTGTAAGCACCCATGTCATTTTTTAGTCTGCAATATTAAGTGGTGGCTGTTTTTATTTAAAACTGAAGTTGGAACACTGGAAAATCCTTCCTCAGTGACTTGTAATTTGGGACTTGGATTATTTATGTAGGGATGTTTGTATATTTTGTCAGTGAGTAATACTGCGCTGCCATCATGGTGACTGTCATGGTTCTATATAAATGCCCTCCATCTGTCCCTCTAATGTTGCATGTCTCCGGTGGTTTGGAAGTTTTGTATATTTATTGTATTAACACAGAGTGTTCTAAAATAAAATGCTGTTTAATGGATGTTTGTTTGTATAATTTTAAATACTTCATTAGCATTTCAGAGGCAGAAATTATGCTGAGGGTTTAATGTATATAGAAATTCCACATTTGAATTTAAAAAAGAATCTGTATAATTCTGTCATTTGCTAACAAAATAAACATAAAAAAGATTAGTTAAAAACTCTCATCAACATAAAATGACAACTTTTCTGTTGCATTAGACCTTTATAGGTAGAGGGATATGAGCTTCACTCATAGTAAATATTTTGACCACTTTAAGGTCAATATACACAGACTGCCTAGAGATTTAAAATGGAAAAATGTGTTTTGTGGTTCAGATTTTTCCTAGTGGGTTAGAATAAGTGCCTGTGTATTAATAGGTCATTGATGTGAGTGAACTCGTGTTCTGTTTCCTAACCTCGCTATCTATTGCTGTTTTATGTATCAGTGAAAATACCTGTTTGATTTTTCACTGGTTATTTAAAGAGGGTGTTAAATCATGTTCATGATGAATCTTATATTGAGAAATATGTGTTCAATTAAAATAGGAACAGCATTTTCAATTTGCTGGGTTTACCTAAAAAATGAGTTTGAATTGTCATTGGATGTATCTCCTTCTATAAATCATGTTGTGATAATGTGTAGTTTGCATTTTTGAGGGAATTTATGTTAAATTTATTAGTTGTTTCTGTAAATTATTTGTAGTAGCATAATGTTTTTATCTTTTTCTGAAAACACTGAAATTAGCATTTAATTTTATCTTTCTTGGTAAAAAATGTATGTTTAGACTGTTACTATATAGAACTTATCATTTTATCCATATATCCCCATTAGAACTACTATGGCTGTCACACACCATTTCACTGTATCTCCTTCCATTTTTTCCTTAAGGAATATGTTTAGAGGAATCTGTTGATTTCCTGTGATTAAGACCTTTAGGAGTGAAATAAAAGTGGCTAATAAATTAATGATGGTTAAAAATAAAAAAATACCTTATTTGATGCCCTAACTGGTTTGGCTCAGTGGATAGAGTGTCAGCCTGCGGTCTGAAAGGTCCCAGGTTCGATTCTGGTCAGGGGCATGTACCTTGGTTGTGGGCACATCCCCAGTAGGAGGTGTACAGGAGGCAGCTGATCGATGTTTTTAGCTCTCTATCCCTCTCTCTTCCTCTCTGTAAAAAATCAATAAAATATATTTTTAAAAAATACCTTATTTGATAAATTTTGAAGTACCATACTATAAATTTATTTAGAATAATATGTTTTAAAACAGTGTTGTTTTAAGTGCTTGTTTATTAAACTAAAAAGTTGTATCTCAATGGTTAAATATTATGTAAAGTGAAGTATTTCCATTAGAGATTAGGTTATTGATTGGTATTTTTAAACCTATTTTATGGCTTTATCACAGTATATAGAGAGCAAGAAAGAAATCTATCAAAATTTACTAAGCCAGGCATTGCCACTGTTCTGTCCTAGATACTAGTAGATACAGTATCTTTCATTGAAAGATTCTAGGAAAATAGGGAAAGACTTTTCTCTTGTGTTCCTACCATTCCTGAGGGTTCCATATTTACAGTTTAACCTTGTGATTTTGATAGGACAAAACTTACAAACTGTAGAATTTTCATTGGCACTGTTAATGTTTTCAAATGGCAAGGGACATGGGAGCCACCATGTAGCAATGCAGTGAGTGTTAAATTTTATGTTTATCTAAATCTTGATTTGTTGTTCGGCTCATATCTTTCTGGGCTTGGCATGGCTGATGTAATTAAAACCATCTTGCCACTAAAACCCATTTTATCTTTTCTCTAATGGGGACAGAAAATAGTTAAGTCTCTTCTACCTAGTAATGTTTCACATACGTTATGTATTATCTTCTTTTCATTTAAACAGTCCTAATTTATAATAGTATGCAAATTTTATTTTTTTTAACACTTAGATATAATCCCACAATTCTCCATAACTTTAAAAATATTTTGTGGGTCAGTGATTCTCAAGATAAATCATGGTTGTGGTAGTTGTTACTATTGGCAATTTGTACGATTCTTCAGGTGTTTCGGGGCTAGGAAAAAAAATTGCCCCAAATCACTGTGTTTTATCTGGTGATCAGGGTGATTCCTACAATGTTATAGTCATCTCCATGAAAACTGAGCATACTGGGCATACACATTTCTCAAACTCATTTTTTTCTGGTATGAAAGTAATATATGTTGAACAATTGAGAAATATGGAAAATGATAAATGAGAAAATAAAAATAATTTTTCATTTAGTAATAGCACTGCCAATATTTTATTGGATTTTTCCCATTCTTTTTCTATGCATACATAGTTTATGGAGTGAAGGGATATAGCAATGTTTAACTTTTTGAATTGATAAAATTAATACACTTTAGTCTAAATTATAGGAAATATTTGTAAGCAAAGAAGGTAAAACTGCTCATAATTTTATACCCATAAATAACTACTATTAATATTTGGTTTATATCTTTCAATTTTCTCAGAAGACAACTTTTTCCCTAAAATCAAAAAATAAGATTTCCCTCTATATTGTCATAGATCCTTTTAGGGATGTTTATCGAGCTCTCACATGCCCATTTCTTTGGGGCCCCTGAACATTACATTGGTACTGGATGTCATCTAGCCATGGTGGACCCATGCTTGGCTCATTACATTTTTTTCCTGGGTAGATGTGTCCACAACTATACTGTTTTAGTGGCAAGATGGTTTTAGCTGTACCACATTCTTCCATGAGGAAGGAGTCACCATCAAGCTGAAGAATGAAGCAGACATCAAGGACAAGTGGGATGGAAGGACATAGGAAAAAAACCTTGATAGCTTTGCATTTCCTGTATGGGGCCTGACTGCTCACCCATATTTTGTCCCATTAATCCCAGTAATATTTTTATTCTGTTTTCTCCCTGAGCTAGTTTGAATTGGTTTCCTGTTACTTTCAACTGGAGAATTTTAACAAACACAAAGGTTTGTAATCTTTTTGCAATTATGATGTAAATTATATGTTGAACTTTATTTCACACTAGAGTCCTGGTGCACGGGATTCATGCACTGGTGGGGGGCGTGGCCTGCGGGGATCAGCCCCTGTGGGAGCGCTGCTCATCCCAGTCAGCCAAGTGGCTGTGGCCGCTCCCTGGTCCGGCATCTTCCATGGAGCCGGAGCACTCACCTCTCTAGGGGACCCGGTAGGGGCTGGGTCCAGGGACAATAGCATGGAGAGGTGGTGTAGGCCTTAGTCCCACAGCAGCCACAAATCTGCCTTCCAGCCTCCCGGGTCAGCTCTGCGAGCCCAGCGGTGGTGCTGCGCAGCCTACAGGTGTCTGGAGGAGGTGGCAGGGGCGAGGAGGCGATGATTGCAACCCGAGTTCCTGCCTGTTGGCCCGGGGTTTGCAACGGGAGCAGCTGCTCATTCTGGTCAGCTGAGCGGTGCTCCCACTGTGGTAGTGCACTGACCACCGGGGGGCAGCTCCTGCATTAAGTGTCTTCCCCCTGGTGGACAGTGCGCGTCATAGATACTAGTCAACAGGTCGTTCTGGTCGTTCCGCTGTTCGGTCGCTGAGCTTTTATGATAGAGGATAGGATTGCTGAATGCATTTCTATAACATTTAATAGCTGTACGGCTAGCTACCTTTATATACGTGTATCATAAACTATTTTTGAAGTCCTGTTATTCCTTCAGGTTCTGTTTTTTCATTTTTTTATTATAAATAATTTATCAAGGAATATATTGTAGCTAAATTTGGGGACCCAGGCTTTTTTTCTTTTCTTAGGACAGATTGCTGGGTCAAAGCATAGTTTCACTTTTTTGAGAGCTATGATGTGCATTGCCAAATTGCTCTCCAGAAAATTGTATCAATTTATATCTCCATCAGCAGTGTACGAAAGGACCTCTTTATCCACACTCTACCAACATCGGATGCCCCTTTTCTAAAAAGTCTTCCCTATTGTAGGTTTTGACAGATAATCAGGTGATTTATTTTCTGAGCATTCTGGTTTCTCATAGATGGACTCGTCCAATACTACCTGTTTGTTTTTTCTTGGTTTTGATAAGGAGGAGTGACCAGGTAGCCTACATCCACAGTGAAATCTTCTACTTCCTGAAGCTCGAAGCTAAAGATGATTAGTACAAGTTGGAAAAAGAAAAGGCGGCCTTAGGCAGCCAGCCATTGAGCCTCTCTAGGTAAAATTAGATTGGTTTTAACACCAGGTGATGTTAATCTTCACAATTTTTTTAGAACTCTTAATTTTTGAGATCAATTCTAAATGATATTCTGTCTGGACAGACAGACGATTTTCTTAATTTACTTCTAATAACTTTTACTCATTGAGGGCATACTGTATATCAGAAACTATACTAAATGCTTTACTTATGGTATTTACTCCTCACACCAAACCTGTGGTGTGATTTCTATTATTGACCCAATTCTTATAGAGTAGGAAATTATCCTGATCACCCAGTGAGAGAACAGAATGCCTGTCTCTTCTGGGAGAGGCAGCTAGACCCATGTCCCCTGACTCCTGCCAAGTGTGAGGCTGCTGCCGCCATGTGGTGCCACCTCTCTCCAAGACCCTGTTTCTTTTCCATCCTTCCACATTTCCAGTAATTCATATCCATCTTTTAGGGACAGTGGATCCTAGGGAAAAAAATCAACCAAGAAAAAAATTACAGCATATATTTCTGATGTCTCCAGACCAAGGCCTACCTCCATAATGTGTGAGTACCTGCTGCCTGCTCTCCAGCAGTATTAACTGACTAAATGGTCTTTTGCTTCTGTATGTGTGTTTGGAGAAACTTTAATTGAAGACAAATCCCTAATTATTAGTTTAACTCTGAAGAAAATATGCCTTTTATTTAATTATAACAGCTGCTTATCCTGGATAAGAGATTATAAGAAAATAACAAAAACTTGTCAAACTGTCATTTGTTTTACTACTGTCATAAACCCAATGGATTTTTAGTGACTGTTTTCAGGATTGAGTAAACTGAGACACATGGTCCATCTTCAGAAGTATGAAAAATGACTAGGTTTTTCTCTGAAAAAGAAAGAAAGAGTAGTGTTTTCATCAGTTGTCATCCTTTGGTGTGGCCTTTTTTGAATTATAATTGGAAATTATTTTAGCAGTTTACTACACAGAGATGTTGGCATCCTAAGGGTTCTGTATGGGCCTGCTTTTCACCCTAAATATTCCAGGTAGAAGGAAATGACAGCTGTTTGAGAATGTAGACTTTGGTGTCAAACCTGTATTTGAGCCTTGGCTTTGCCACTTACTAGCTTTTTTTTTTACCTGGGACAAATTACTTAATTTCAGTTAAGTTACTTAGTGACAGTTAATTTATCTATAAAATGAGGATAATAGTTTCTATTCATCGGGTTTTGATGAATAAATGAATTATATGAAGTGCTTAGCACAGTACTTCCACATAGAATGTGCTCAATAATTAAAAACTCTTGCTGTCTACCCATGTGTATTGATGGCTCCCAATTCTCTTATCTCCAACGTGGTCTTCTCTCCAAAGTATGTTCCTAGCTGCACAAGGGACTTCTCCATTGGCAGCTTAAGCTGGACCTTCCCACCTTCCCTGTCTCTGTTTCTCTTGAATTCCTGATCTTGGTGGTGGCATCACTTTCCTTCCTGTGCCTAAACGAAATACCTGGGAGACATGTTGGACTCTTTCCTTTTCTCCCTTTACCCCTTCTAGTCAGTCACCTGACTATCCATTCTTTCCCCCTAACATTTACCTAATGCATCTCATTATCTTTGCCGTCACTTGCCTTAATTCAGGCTGTATTCTCTTGAGAATACATTATAGTGGTTTTCCCCAAACACAGGCAGTTGGTGGACTGCTTGCCTTCAGGTGTTAGACTTTTGTGGCTATTTGACTACAAAAAGCCAAAGAGCTGTTAATATCTAATTTTTGATTGATTTTTCTTTTCCTGTGTGGTTTTGCTACTTCCTCTTATTTATTTATGTTTTTATCTATATCCTGTGTCCCTAAGCAAAGTGAACAGTTCATGTCTTAAAGATTTATCTTGCAGAACTCTTCAGGGTGAGAAGGAAGCTGCAAGGAAGAAGATAGTGGTAGGGACAGCAGTAGGATGGTCCCAAACACATGACTAAGCAGCTGATAGGGGTTATGAAATAAAGACAATTATTGGTTCTTGCTGATTTAAAGAGTAGGCAAAAGTTTACTTTGATGATCTTATTCTTTAGCGTTTGAGTTGAAAAAGGTACTGAATTATTGGAAACTACTGAAATGACCCACTTAAAGGAAATGTCAGGCATAGTCAAGACTGTGCTTAAGTGGCTTTATGTAAAGCAAAGACTTTAAGGAGAACTAGGAGTAAGTTGAATGTGTTCCGGAAGGGCAGTCATGGCAAGTTCATCCAGCAGCAAAATTGCTAAAAACTAAGGATGAGCGGGAAGCACACGCGAGGGTTCCCAGCCTCTGCTGAAATTTAAAGCCAGAGTCCTCTTTTGTGGATTAACTCTTCAGAATGATGTAGTAACAGCTGAAAAAGTAACTTGAAATTTCCAATTTTGCACAGGTAATTTAGATCATAATTTGAAAAATTTTTTCTTTAGTGATTTGGATAATTCTGTCAGCTTTTAATTTTGGTTTCTATTAGAAACCTGGAAGTTGTCAGGTATGTTTGGAAACCAAAGCATAAATGTAGTTTCAGGTGTCACACGCCTTAGATCAGGAGAATAACCATTTTTGTTTATTCTATCAAGTGAGTGCTTCATGAGAGATAGAGTTGAGTAAGAGTTTATGAAAAGGGTTGTTGGTGTCATCTTTGAGAATTCGGCTTCTGGATGAGGCTCTTTATGGGCAGGTTACTTTCAGGAAATGTGGATATGGAACTGTTCCATGTTTGGCTTTTAATTTTGGTGTTTTTGTTGGAATAGGAGAGTGTGACCTTCAGTAGACCTTTTTCTTTGTCATTATTATACATATTTCTTTTTTTGTAAAGCCTTGAGTGCTTTGGAGCATTTTCATAATTCTTAGTTTTACTTTAAAATTAAGACATTTGTATAGTATTTGAGAGGGTTTTTCTCCCTCTTTATAATGACATTGATGCTTCTCTGAGGAATAAATATATATAGTACCTATTTTGAAGTTAAAGCTAACCTAAGGTAGGTATATATATCTGTTACTAATGAATGGAATAGTTGAAATACCTGAATATCTTTTTTTCCTGATCAAATTATATACATCATAATTGAAAGAAATAGACTTAAAAGAATCAAAATGAGTTTGCAAAATCTGGTTTAATTCAGATCTGGGGAAAGGAAGGGAGCAACATGTTGTGAAAATACATATGCACAGGGACCTAATCAATGCTAGACAAACAATGTATTAGTTTACAATATAATAGAATAACCACAAATTTGAAGGCTCAAATCTAGTCCATCAGCGGTAAATACAATTTCATATTTGGCTCAAGTGGCTGTTGAATTATCAAGTGGTGCTGAGTTCCTCCAAAGCACCTAATGACTCCCCCCAGACTTGGAAGGAGTTTCACCACAGTCTCAGAAGAAATCCCAGTCGTGCCTGTAACTCTTTTGGCCCTTGGGAGTCATTGCTGCCCAAATACAAATGCAGGCCAGGGATTTCCAGTGGCCACGTGTTATTGCACAGAGAAGTCTGTTCTAGGCCAGACTCTTATGGCTAAGAAGGTGTGAGATCAGCCCTTAAATAGTGGTCTAGCATTAACATGGTCTATCAAAGCATGTTAAGAAATAGCTCCTTAGTGATTATGTACCAGCTACTAGTTATCACACTAACAGAAAAGGCAAAAGGGCAGCTTCACATTTCACATGAAAGACTAGCATTAACTGGGCCTGCTTGCCAGCTTAACGTTCACATGAATCTAGTGACTATTTTAATTTAGACCCAGAAAAAATTATTTCATACCAGTCTTTTCTTCACATAGGTTTGTGTAGCATTAAAATCATTATGGGTTAAATACTAGGCCATAAAGGCAAAACTGTTTAACTCTCCTTTGCCAAAACAGAAACAAGCCCTGTTCTGACGCCTGTCCAGTTTCCAAAAAACAAAACATACATACACCTTTGTTATTGCACATCTTTCACACAGACTTGTGTATGTATAATATATATATATTTTAAATATGCTACACATAAAAAAAGACTATGGCACTTTACAGAATACGTGTTTTAACAAAGATCATTACACCACAGATGTTTGAAAACTATACAAAAACCCTTACACAATTAATGTAACATTGTTGAATTAGCACACAGGTTTAAAGAATCCACAGAGTCCAAAACAAGTATTTCTGCCTTTTTGGAGTCCATTGAGAAGCCCAGCCATCACAAACTTTAAGCACAAATGCAGGCAAAAATAAATAAGACTTTTCTGGTAGTTGTAATGGTGCAGGTATATTAGATTTTTAGACTGAGGCAATTAGGGGATAGAAATTAGAAAAATAGGTGTGGGTCAATCAGTCTAATTATTTTGTACACATTTATTTCACCATATTCCTCATATTTAGTGTGTTGTTCTTTTTAATCAGCTATGCAGTTTTGGTCTAGATTTGCATGATTTTGAATGTTCCATTCCTTCCAACCAAAGCTTGGCTAGTGAACTGAAGGTTTAAAAGGCCCAACATTACCGCTTACTAGGCCAGTGTTTGAGTAGTTTCAGTGGTTTGGGGTTTTGTGTGTGCATGTGCTTTTTGTCTTCTGAGCATTGAGACTAATGAAGTAGACACTGTCAAGTGACTTTTATTATCAAGGTGATCTAGGGATACACTGCCACCTTAACCAAGGAGCAGTTGGGCAGTAGGGATGAGGGACTTGCTCAAAGGATCCTCTGGGCTATGACAACTTGTCTGTAAGGAGAGTGAGAACGTAAAATTCGTGTTAGAAAATGGGTTCTTTATCTTATACCAAAAAACAGTAGAGTGAATCTTCTGATGATACATTTAAGAAAAATTGGTGTTTTTATCAAAATTATTTGCCTGATGAAGCAAATTTCTTTTTTTAAATGAAAATTATTGCCAGGGCTTGCTGGCATCGGGACTTGGTTAGAGCATATAAACACTCCATCAGGTACAGGAGCCAAATCCAGTGGCTGCCATAACCTATTTCTGTGTGGTGTCAGAGATAGATTAATGTTTCCTGAACCCTTCTCTTGTTAAGGAAAGTCATAGGATTTACATTTTGCTTATTCTGAACTTTGGACTAAGAGTGGTGAGCTCATTAAGGCCTGGTTCTACACCCTTTCTTCTCCTGCCCTTAACTCTTAATCTATAAGAAAAGATCGTTTCTGGTATAGGCCAAAGGCCAGAAGAGAATGAGACTTTAGTTGTTCCATTCCATCAACACATAAAGGAATTAGTTTTTCTGCACTAGGCATGGCTGTAAAATCTGAATCAGGGTTCTATGTCTGGTGGCACTTAGTACATAATACCTTGCCCAAACAATGTATGTAATTATTTGTTAAATTTTCAAAATGAAGCAAGCCCTCAAGTGAGCAGATTCATAAACCAAAAGAGACCTAATCCTTCCAGAAATCTGGCAGGTCCATCCCACTTGCTTAAGTTGTTATAGAGTGTTTCTGTATTTCTTCAATTCTAATCTTAGGATAATATCAGACTAGGTTCTTTCTGGCCACTTCGATCATTTCAAAGTAAATATGAGGTGATGGCTAATACCATTTTCCTGAATCAATGATATTGTTAATTTATAGAAACTAGATTAAAAGCACCCAAAACTTTTTTAATAGTGGTAGTTGATTCTTTTTGTAAACAGGTACAGGCAGGTGCTGTAAGTTTGGTCTAGCTCTCTTATTTTGCATTAAATTTCTACTCTGTTTTCCTGGGAATGAAGCCTTTGATGCAGCTCAGCATTTGCAACAATTTAATGTTATTTTAGTCTGCTTTCAGGATCAACCAGTAACTAAAAAAACTTAAGTCCCATGATTAGCTCTTTTTTTAACCCTTTTCGGTCCAACATGGAGGCTGACTCGACAGACCAGGCGCTAAGAGCAGGTCCAACGTCGAGGCTGAGGTCGACACTGCAAACCGATTCAACATTCAATCCCGTCAATTAATTTGGACCAGCCTGTTTGAATTCCAAAAATAAAATTGGACCGCAAAGGGTTAATGCACAGAATAGCATTTTGCTGTTGGGGTTGAAAATATAGCTGACTACAGCATGGTTACCAAACAGTGGGAAAAGGTCTCCCCGTAAGTGCTGAGGTTCTGGCAGTTTCTCCCAGTGAATATCTGAATGAGCCACATCTGGTTTGGAGACCTCTGTCCTGGAATGAGGAAACAGTGAGGTTTCCTTTGGCAGTCAGTGCAATCCCAAGCCTAGGAGAAAAACATGTGATCTCTGGTGGAAGAGGAGGCTGGGCCAGTACTGGCGCTAGCTTGGCTGCTGGGAAGTGGAATGCATTTGTCTCCACTAGCAGGATTTTTTAATTCTCATAATCTTATAGGCCCTTATTTTTTGCTTTAATCTTGGAGTGACAGTTCAATTGATTCACCTGACCCTGGAATTTAGCTTCCAATAAGTTCCACAACAGAATTCCACAGTCCCTGCTTGATCCCGTTGGTGAGCTAAGAAAGATCGTGTCTTGCTATGATGCCTTTTAGCACACATCCCACTCCCAGTAAGTGTGTAGTCTTCAACTGAGACACTTGAAAGAACCAGGAGGAAACAAAAACCCCACACCTCTGAATAGCCAGCAAATCTGGCTAACAGTCTCTTCTGGTTACCAGAGAAATGCTGCTTTCATGGTTGAGAGCATTCTCCTTCACTGTGCCTTGGGGGTGATGCTGTCTGACACATGTCAGGGTTTATGTACTGTTTTCATGTTCCATCTCTTACAATTTGCACTGTGGCCCTCATGTGCAGCCACTTTGCTTGGCTGGATGTTGCCTCTCATTGGTCCTGTTAAGGCTCAGGGCTGTGGAATGTGGATTTGGTAGTTAAAGGCTAGTTCTTCACTTGACTCAGATGATGAAACCAGAGGTGAACTGTTTCACAAGGATAAACATGGAAGAAAATGGTATAAATGTCTCTTCCAAATTAAAGGAGGCAGATGAGGTTTTTCCCCTCTTCAATCTCTTCCTGTACTTTGTCACTGGAGGTTGCAATTTCTGCTTGTGCGGAGAAGATGGCACAGATGAAGGTGAGGACCATCCCACCGATGGCAGTATAAAAGGCCCAGCCCAAGGAGCAGTCTCCAGGTTTGTAGGCCGATGCATAGTGTCCACAGTAGGCAACGGCCTTCTGGCAGCCCCAGCCAGCAGGGTAGAGTATCAAGCCGAGGATAAGGAACAGGCCTGCAGGGCAGAAGAGAAAAGAGGTGACCACCCCGTGGCTCCACAGATTTGTTGTCATTGTTACTTGATTTACCTTCTTTGGGCTATGGCATCCTTTCTGCAATAGCAAGTGTTAGGGGCTGTTTTATACAAGTAATCTAGCCTGATCAAGAACTATTACCACTTTATCAGAAATATTTTTAGCCTCTTCTGTACATGGTGGCATGTACACCCACTAATCATTTCCCTTCCAGGAAAGCAAATAAACTTGTTTCTTCTCACAGGGCTCTTATTGAGGTGAGAATTTCCCTTGGTCTAAGGCAGAAATCAGCAAACTGAGGCCAAGTAACTGTGGCCTTGTTTTTGTAAACAAAGTTTTATTGGAACAGAGCTCTGCCCATTCATTTATGGATTGCCTAGGGCTGCTTTTGTGCTGGAACAGCAGAGTGAGCAGTTGCTACAGACCCTATGGCCTGCCAAATTGAAAATATTTAATAAGGTTACAAAGACCTGATTTTTAAATACCAAGGAGTTCTATCCTTATAAACTAATCTTGGCTCAATTTTCTTTTCCTACCTTTACTAAAATTCTCTGGGTTTATCATACCAAAGCTTCCAAGTTACTTAAAGCAACTTCCCCACAGAAAGAACATGACTGAATCTGTGGTAATATTAGGTGTGAAGGAAGATGAGGGACAGTGTTTAAAACCACAGGTCACAATTTCATAGCGCTGTCTTCATCCTGTGATAGTATCTTCTCACCAACCATGGCAGTTCACTACCTCCCAAATTAATCCCAATGTTCTAGTCCAGTGGTCGGCAAACGGCGGCTCGCGAGCCACATGCAGCTCTTTGGCCCTTGAGTGTGGCTCTTCCACAAAATACCACATGCGGGCGCGCATGTACAGTGTGATTGAAACTTCGTGGCCCATGCGCAGAAGTTGGTATTTTGTGAAAGAGCCACACTCAAGGGGCCAAAGAGCTGCAGTTGGCCGACCACTGGTCTAGTGTGAGCTAGAACACAAATAGCAAGATAATGACCACAGCAAAGACGCACTAAATTGAGATGGTCAGTTAGTAGTTAAGAGCTCAAAATTGGGATTAAGATAGAGGTTTGAATTCAGCTCTGACATTTATAAACTGGGTGACCTTAGAAAATCTTAACCTAAGTATGATTCCTCACCTGTAAAATGGGCTAATGTTTAATTCATAAAGTGGTTGTGAGTATTGAAGTATGTACAGAGTACTTTCTACACCCATAACAATAACAGCAGTAACAACAGAACTGGAACACAGACTAGTACCTGACAACAGGATATAGTTTTTTGCAGACCCCTCCTGTATAGGAGGCTGTATAGCACAGTTTAAAGCAGTGGTTCTCAACTTTCCTAATGCCGCAACCCTTTAATACAGTTCCTCATGTTGTGGTGACCCCCAATTTCATTGTTACAAATTGAACATAATTAAAGCATAGTGATTAATCACAAAAACAATATGTAATTATATACGTGTTTTCCGATGGTCTTAGGCGACCCCTGTGAAAGGGTTGTTCGACCCCCAAAGGGGTCGCGACCCACAGGTTGAGAACCGCTGGTTTAAAGTGTACCAGTTATAATGACAATGAAAACACAACAATCCAAAACCTATGGGACACAATGAAAGCAGTCCTGAGAGGGAAGTTTATAGCTCTACAGGCCTATCTCAACAAACAAGAAAAAATGGTAGTAAATCATCTAACTCTACAACTCAAAGAATTAGAAAGAGAGCAACAAGAAAACCCCAGAGTGAGCAGAAGGAAGGAGATAATAAAGATTAGAGCAGAAATAAATGACATAGAGACCAAAAAAACAATACAGAAAATCAATGAAACCAAGAGCTGGTTCTTTGAAAGGATAAACAAGATTGACAAACCTCTAGCCAGACTCACCAAGAAGCAAAGAGAGAGGACCCAAATAAACAAAATCAGAAACGATAGAGGCGAAATAACAACAGACCCCACAGAAATACAAATGATTGTTAAAAAATACTATGGACAGCTCTACTCCAACAAACTAGACAACCTGGAGGAAATGGACAAATTCCTAGAAAAATACAACATTCCAAAACTCAATCAGGAAGAATCTAAAAATCTCAACAGGCCAATAACTATGGAAGAAATTGAAGCAGTCATCAAAAAGCTTCCAGCAAACAAAAGCCCAGGACCAGACGGCTTCACAGGGGAGTTTTACCAAACATTCAAGGAAGAACTAAAACCTATCCTCCTCAGACTACTACAAAAAATTCAAGAGGAAGGAACACTTCCAAGCTCATTCTATGAAGCCAGCATCACCCTAATACCAAAACCAGGTAAAGACAACACAATGAAAGAGAATTACAGGCCAATATCCCTCATGAACATAGATGCCAAAATCCTCAACAAAATCTTAGCAAATCGGATCCAGCAGTACATCAGAAAGATCATACACCATGACCAAGTAGGATTTATCCCAGGGATGCAAGGATGGTACAATATCCGCAAATCAATAAACGTGATACATCACATAAACAAATTGAAAGAAAAAAACCACATGGTCATATCAATTGATGCAGAAAAAGCATTTGACAAAATTCAACACCCATTTTTGATAAAAGCTCTCAGCAAGGTGGGAGTAGAAGGATCATACCTCAACATAATAAAAGCCATATATGACAGGCCCACAGCCAACATCATACTCAATGGACAAAAACTAACACCATTTCCCCTAAGAACAGGAACAAGACAGGGATGCCCCCTCTCACCACTCCTGTTCAACATAGTACTGGAAGTGGTAGCCATTGCAATTCGGCAAGAAGAAGAAATAAAAGGCATCCAAATTGGAAAAGAGGAAGTAAAACTGTCCTTATTTGCAGACGACATGATATTATACATACAAAACCCTAGAGACTCCATCAAAAAGCTACTGGACTTAATACATGAATTTGGCAATGTAGCAGGATACAAAATTAACCCCAAGAAATCCGAGGCATTTCTATACACCAATAGTGAACTTTCAGAAAGAGAGATTATAAAAACAATCCCGTTTACCATCGCACCAAAAAAATTAAGCTACCTAGGAATAAACTTAACTAAAGAGGTAAAAGACCTCTACTCAGAAAACTACAGGACGTTGAAAAAAGATATAGAGGAAGACATAAACAGATGGAAGAACATACCGTGTTCATGGATTGGTAGAATCAACATCATTAAAATGTCCATACTACCCAAAGCAATCTATAAATTCAACGCACTTCCCATTAAAATACCAACGGCATACTTCAGAGATCTAGAACGAACTCTCCAAAAATTCATCTGGAATAAAAAAAGACCTCGAATAGCTGCAGCAATCCTGAAAAAGACCAAAGTAGGTGGGATCTCAATACCAGATATCAAGATGTATTACAAAGCCACTGTTCTCAAAACTGCCTGGTACTGGCACAAGAATAGGCATATAGATCAATGGAATAGAATAGAGAGCCCAGAAATCGGCCCGAACCAATATGCTCAATTAATATTTGACAAAGGAGGCAAGAACATACAATGGAGCCAAGATAGTCTCTTCAATAAATGGTGCTGGGAAAATTGGACAGATATATGCAAGAAAATGAAACTAGACCACCAACTTACACCATACACAAAAATAAACTCAAAATGGATAAAGGACTTAAATGTACGACAGGAAACCATAAAAATTCTAGAAGAATCCAAAGGCAACAAAATCTCAGACATATGCTGAAGCAATTTCTTCACTGATACAGCTCCTAGGGCACTTGAAACGAAAGAGAAAATGAACAAATGGGACTACATCAAAATAAAAAGCTTCTGCACAGCAAAAGAAACCATCAACAAAACAACGAGAAAACCCACTGTGTGGGAAAACATATTTGCCAATGTCATATCTGATAAGGGCCTAATCTCCAAAATTTATAGGGAACTCATACAACTTAACAAAAGGAAGATAAACAATCCAATCAAAAAATGGGCAAAGGACCTAAATAGACACCTTTCAAAAGAGGACATTCAGAAAGCCAAGAGACATATGAAAACATGCTCAAAGTCACTAATCATCCGAGAGATGCAAATCAAAACAACAATGAGGTACCATCTCACACCTGTCAGACTGGCTATCATCAACAAATCAACAAACGACAAGTGCTGGAGAGGATGTGGAGAAAAAGGAACACTTGTGCACTGCTGGTGGGAATGCAGACTGGTGCAGCCACTATGGAAGACAGTATGGAGTTTCCTTAAAAAACTGAAAATGGAACTCCCATTTGACCCTGTGATCCCACTTCTAGGAATATATCCCAAGAAACCAGAAACACCAATCAGAAAGGATATATGCACCCCTATGTTCATAGCAGCACAATTCACCATAGCTAAGATCTGGAAACAGCCTAAGTGCCCATCAGTAGATGAATGGATTAGAAAACTGTGGTACATCTACGCGATGGAATACTATGCTGCTCTAAAAAGGAAGGAACTCTTACCATTTGCAACGTCATGGATGGAACTGGAGAGCATTATGCTAAGTGAAATAAGCCAGTCAATGAAGGAAAAATACCACATGATCTCACTCATTCATGGATAATAGAGACCATTATAAACTTTTGAACAATAATAGATACAGAGGCAGAGCTGCCTCAAACAGATTGTCAAACTGCAGCAGGAAGGCCGGGGAGGGTTGCGGGGCAGGAGGTAGGGGGGTAAGAGATCAACTAAAAGACTTGTATGCATGCATAGAAGCATAACCAGTGGACATAAGACATTGGGGGATAGGGGAGGCTAGGGGACTGTCTAGGGCGGGGGGATAAAATGGACACATATGTAATACCCTTTGTAATACTTTAAGCAATAAAAAAAAAAAAAAAAAAGTGTACCAGTTATGAGTAAGTGGGTCAGCTTATTTTTTAGGGTATATTTTGAAAGGTGTAATGATTTGGGGAGAGGGAGAACCCAGACTACAATTTAGTCCCCTTGAAAGACTAAACCATTCTCATCTGAAC